ATATTCAGTTTTCAATCTTACCATATAAATATAACAGAGATTATGGATATAAAGAATGAAAGGAATGCTATCGTAAAGTAAATGCTATTCTTTCATGCTTTGTTAAATTACCTCTCCATAAATATATTTCCACTGAAGGTGTTTGACAAACTGAAGTACAGTCAGCCTCTTGTGAAAACAAATGAGGTCCTTCGATACTTATATTATTGGTGTTGGGATTATTTACATAGAATCCTGATAAAAAATTAATGTACTCACTGCTATGATATGATTTAATTCATATCATTGAAAAATAAGTCTATGCTATGTTATGTGAAGTTGAGACTCAGCACATATTTATCCAGGTAGATGTGAAGCGAGCAGCAATCACGGTGGTTTGAAGTAACATCTAAAGGGGAAGAGGTGGTTATTATGGCTTCCAACAAGAGATCTGGTCACTCACTCATTGCTAATATTATATTTTGAACACAGATGAATTATTAAATAAATAGCATGCAATTTTAATTGTATGTACCCTGTGTTCAAACATTTGTTTCAAACATTGTATTTTTGTTCATAACCACTTTTAATGTGGAAACTCATTCTCCTTAAAAAAATCCACAAATATACATGCCAAAATTCCCAGGAAAAAAATTTAAAAATAAAAAAAAAACAAAAAACCAGGGGAATAACCAACATAGAAATCAATAAACCAGGGGCCAGCAGGTGGTGCAGAAGTTAAGGTGGCTTAATCCCATTTGGTGGACATCAAGGCTCAGGGTTAGATCTGGCAGCTTGAGAGAAGGCCGGGCATACGTGGAAGTGTGCCCCAAATCCCAAGCAGAAAGTGGAGGTGAAGGGATTATAGCATAGTCATCTCCACTGGATGTGATTTCTCACTTTTCGTCTTTCTCTCTCCATCTCTCTGGAGAGCGCACAGTCATCTTATAGCAAAAGCAAGGAAAAAAAACAATCTATAAACCAGTAGGATCTCCAGATATTTACAAATACTGAACAAGGTTTCTATTTTCCAAGTTTTAAGTTTGGTTTTCATTTTGTTTCTTAGTTTTATTATTTATTTATTTATTTAATCTCGTAATTGATACTAACACCTCAAAATTTAAATATTGTGTCTCGTTTCACTCATTTCAAAAAAGGACCTAGAAATGAGTAAAGAGAGCTCTCAGCTGGATTGCCGTCCTCTAGGAGCTTAGCAATAAAATTTGCATCTGACGTTAGAAATCATTAATAGATAAATTCTAGAATGTAAAAACAAATTCAAGAAACAGTTTGAATTGTCTCAGAGTTGTAAGAAAATAAGATCAATGTTTTAACATATGTTACATCAGTTACAGGTTGGTTTTGTTTCTTTGCTTGTTTTGCACTTTTGGGTGCAGGAACACACCGAAGAGGAATGGGAGTGGGTATGGGGAAGGAAGTACCCTGACCCTGCCCCAAGGAAGGGACAGCCATGTTGCAATCCTTCTCCTGTCTCGTGTCTGGATTTTTGGGAGGCATGCACATGTACCTGATAATGATTTTCAAACCTGGACTCAAATCACTTAGTTGTTCACATAGGATCCAGTGTCTTAACCTCCATCCATCTGCTGGGCCAGTTACAAGTAGTTTTTAAGTGAGGACTTTACCAAATATTTAAGTAACATGTACTTCCAATTTTGCATAAATGCATTATGAAAATAAGGAAATATCTTAAAATATGTTTTATGTCACAGTATCATTTTGTTACCAAAACCAGATAAACACAGTGGGAAGAAGCTAAAATTTTTAATTGGATATAGGTGAATTAGTTCTTCAGTACCTGCTTTTAATTAAAAGTTATTTTTCATATATGAATGCTAAATTTTCTTAAAATTTGAAAACATTGCATTTACATTTACTTGAGAAAAATTAAAATAATCTTAATAGGTACAAATCTAAGATCAAATAAATTCAACATTATCAAGATTTGGAACCTTAGCTATTTAGGAATAAAGGAAAGTTGTGTAATCCGGTAAAGACATTCACCATAAATTTGGTTAATGTAGCATAATTGATAATGAAACATTAGTAACATCCTCTTCAAATCAGTATTGAGAAAAAGAATGAAAATGCTTGTATATGCATTAAACCGGAGATGACACTTCTTAGAAATTGCCATCTATGAAAGAGAGTAAAAAGAACTCACTAAGGAGAGGCATCTCTTGGAATACTGATAATAAAGAAAAGATATAAGCTAGTGACAGAAATTAAATGACCTTACAGAAAAAAAGAGAAAGGAATAAAGAAAGGAAAGGTTATAAGATATGCATGTCTAGTGGTGCCACAGAAGGATGGTCCTTGGACTGCTCGTCTACAGGGCACTTATGGGAAATGACTGAGTTATTTAATCTTTTAAAATCATTATGTATATATATATATATATATTGGGGAAAATTCAGGATATTTTTAAAGAACAAAATATGACTGGCAAAAACATGAAAAGTTATTGTATGAGGAAAACTGAAAGCAGAAAGAAAACATTTTCAGTGGATTAAAATACAAAATAATACACGGATTAATTGCAAGTTGACCCAAGATAAATAGAGATTGCTGAAAATATCCCAATCAAAGTAACGAAAACAGCCAACAGAATCAAAATGAAACAAAGAAATAAAAAGGATCAGAGATAGCAATGACAGGAAAATAAAATCCAATTTATATTTAATTAGCACTCTTAAGTGAGATTAAAACCAGAGTGGAAGAGGCAATATTTAAAACTATGATTCAACAGCAACACTACAAACAACAGAATTCCAGAAGCAAATGAAGACCTTGGGGGGAGAATGGCGTTAAGAGCATTGTTAAAGTTATTAATATAAAGATAACTTGTGAAGCTAAATTAAACATGTAGTACCGGGCATGGTGGTGCCTACCGTTTGGTTAAAATGTAGCACCAGATTTTGAAATACATACACACACAGACAACAGAAACTGAAAAAGAAAACACCTACTAGAACAAAGCTCATCATATATATATATATAATATATATATAATAATCACAATAAATATATGAAAACATGAACAAGTTTTTATAAAGGTTATCAGTCATACAAAAAATATATTTCGTTATGGCAAAAGTCATGATGGGGTTTTTTTCATGGTTTTCTATGAAAAAAAAAAATGTATCATGACTTTTCCAACAACCCAGTATATTGGCTTCACTTACATACTGAAAGAAAAAAACACTTTTAAGACGGGCTCATGAAAAAGGATTTGGTGTAATCTTTTATGAAAAATACAGTTTCATATTCTTATTCTGTAGTGTGATGAAAATAAATGTTGGTGAGGAAGTAGAGAGCTGGTCGAGTGACAAAAATTCATATTGCTAGGGACTATAAATTGGTACCACTTTTTTTTTTTTTTTTTTTTTTTTTTTTGAGAGATTTTCACTGTAGGGCGCGTGCGCTCGCCAGACAGACAGAGAGAGACATAGAGACAGAAAGCGAGAAATCACCCCCCAGGGGGGATGGTCACGCCGCAATCCCTTCTCCTCCATTCTCCTCTCGGGATCTTGGGCACGCACGCACACGCGCCCGGCGTGAGTTTTAAGCCACCGGGTCCGGGACACGAACCACGGTCGACTACGTGGGAGTCCAGCGACATAGCCATTACGCTAACTGCTGGTTCCCTAAATTGGTACCACTTTTAAAAAGAGCTTGTCTTTAGAAAACATGCATCCTCATACGAAGCAACCCTATTACTGGCAGTTTGTCTCAGAAAACCCTCTGCCATGCACATCGGAAGACCTTAATTATAGCAACACATTTTATTTGTTTTCTATTTTTCAATGAAAGGTCAAAAGAAATCGAGAGAGAGGCATTTTCTTGATAGAGGCTCCTCACATCTCGCTTTCTGCCGCACGTCCCGGTTAGCTAGGATTCCTGGTGCAAACCGCTGAGGCGGCGTGTCAGGAGAACCAGGTACTGAAGTGGGCCTCCCCCACAGTACTAGTCTTATGTAGAGGTGCTGTCCCTTTCCATCTGTGACCCTGCTGCTGGCCAATAAGCGACTTGCTTTCTAGAAGAAGCATTTGGAAACAACTCAAATGTTGGGACAGATAAATTGTGCTGTATTCTTACAATGGAATGCCATACAGCAGTGAAAATGAATGACATCTATAAGCATAAACACAAAATCAGCAAAGAAATAAATTATTGAGTGAAAATGGCAAATCTTGTAGTAATGCACATACTGTAAGAATTAAAAGGAATATAATACAGAGTATTTATTTGGAGTGAAGTTTTTCCTGAAATGTCCTATTTAAAGTTGTCCAAATTGCACAGCTGCCCCTCTTTTAGATGAGATGGATCAGAGTCCTACATCAGTAGTAATGCTGTTGTGGAAATGGAACCTGAGGTGCACTCTCACCTAGAGCGGTTTTCTGAAGGCTTTTCCCACAGCCCAGGAAAAAGACTGACCTGCCTCTGTCTGAGTTTATAGAAAGGCATGTACATTCTTGGGACCAGCAGTTAGCGTAATGGCTATGTTGCTGAACTCCCATGTAGTCAACTGCAGTTCAAGTCCTGGACCCAGTGGCTTAAACTCACGCCGGGCGCTTGTGCATGCATACCCAAGATCCCGACAGGAGAATGGAGGAGAAGGGATTGTGGCGTGGCCATCCCCCCTGGGGGGTGATTTCTCACTTTCTGTCCCTCTGTCTCTCTCTGTCTGTCTGGCGAGCGCATGTGCCCTATAGCAAAAAGAAAGAAAGAAAGAAAGAAAGAAAGAAAGAAAGAAAGAAAGAAAGAAAGAAAGAAAGAAAGAAAGAAGGAAGGAAGGAAGGAAGGAAGGAAGGAAGGAAGGAAGGAAGGAAGGAAGGAAGGAAAGAAAGAAAGAAATGCACACACATTCTTGAGATTTAAAACAGAATCCTAGCTAAGAATTAAAGAATTAAAAGTGCAATACGCAGTCAGTATTTTCAGGCGTACAGGGAGAGACTGTTTAAATAAAAAGAAGATCAATATTTTCTATTTCTTTACAGAGTAAAAGTGAGCAAATTACTGTGCGGCATCTGACATCAGGAAACTGGGAAGTGATAAAGATCTTGGCATATGATGAAACTACTCAAAAAATGTGAGTGTGTTCAATTCTTTAGTCGAACTGGCAGTCAGAGCTGTCAAATACGATCTTTCCTACTATGAGAATTGTGTTTTGGTTACCCTAGAGCTAGTCAAAACAAGCCAGCCATGTGAAGAATAACCTTTTCTTTAAATACTCTCTTTACACTTCACATGGAGACAACTTCCACAGACACACACATACACGTGCATGCACTCAGAGAGATTGAAAGAGATTATGAAAAAGAGTTATTTTATAAAGGAAAACAAGTGTTTTTCAGGTGGGTCAAAGCCCTGTAAAACAGCTCTTGCCTGTTTTTCAACAGTTTTGAAAATTCAAGTGAAAACCTGGCATGACTACTACAGCTGTGTCTGATGTGTGTGTTGTTTTCTTTCCTGGGCAGTTATTTTCTGAGCACGGAGATTTCTTCCAGAGGGAGGCAGCTGTACAGGTAAGCACATGCAAGGATCCCCTGCCACAGGATGGCTTCTTCATGGCCTTCTGCACAGTGTGGAGAAGGAGGGGAAAATCCGAAGAGTCATTTTCAGCTTGGCTAGGGGAGAGCAAGTTTGGCGGACAAAGCCTCGGCAGGACTGGAGCCGGAGTGAAGAACACTTTTTTCTCTGCCGCTTCCACCTTCTCTTTCCTTCACCTACTTTTACAGTTTCAGATGCTCTTTCTTTGTGGCTTGCTTTTTTGAACTGCCCATATCATAGACATTTACGTAGCTTCCCCAGTGACCTCTTCTGCTAAGGCTTATTTTGAATTGTAAGTTCCTTAATGTAATTTATTACTGAACAAGATAATGGTATTGTAAGGGTTTAGTTGAATCTCTCAGGTGTAAACTCTCCCATTTGTCCCATCATTTGTAAAATCCAATGAGGCTGTGGCAGGCAGATGTATCCTTATGTAAGTCAGAAATGCTCAGGCTTACTGAAACACAGCAGTACATGGGGATGATCACATCTGCCCAATTTCCCAAAGGCAAAGCTGTGTTCTTAACAAGGCCTTACCATCACATCTATTTAATATTAAAATATCTCCTCACCCAGGAAGTTTTCACCAGCACCTCACAAGAATGGTTTTATTTTTGTTTGGCAAGGAGCCTATTAATTTCTAGACTTTATATGCACTTTCTAATTTCCTTTTCACAGATACATTTTTAAAGTGTCAAAACTGCCGTGTCATATTCTCAATGAAAATTCATCATGTTTGAAGGAATGTCAACCATGATTCTTACCAAACAGCCCAGACTTCCTCTGAGAAGTAAAAATGCATGTTTAGGCTAATCTGGCTCCCCCCACACACATACAATTCACCCACATACTCTTATTTATCCAGTTTGCTTTTATCTGAAGGAAGTCTACCATTTTTGATCATCTTTCTCAATATGTTCTTTTCATATTCGTTAGCTTATTCCCTTGTACCTCCTTGAACTCATGGTCTCAAATTTAATAACTTACAGGAAAAAAAGAACGTATTTATTTAGAAATATTGATTTGAAATTTGACTTGAGATCTTCCTCATATACTGGACACTTTTTCCTTTAAGGTGGCCTAAAGCTTACTTTTTAAGAAGCATATATTGTGATTGATATTGGTACCCATGGACAATACTTCATAGAAATATTGGAAATATTCCATCACTGTTTCATTTCTTCCATTTTAGAAAACTTTTTTTTTTTTTTTTGGAGAGGTTTTCACTATAGGGCATGTGTGCTCACCAGACAGACAGAGAGAGACATAGAGACAGAAAGAGAGAAATCACCCCCCAGAGGGAATGATCATGCCGCAATCCCTTCTCCTCCATTCCCCTCTCAGGATCTTGGGCACACACGCACATGCGCCTGGCATGAGTTTTAAGCCACCGGGTCCGGGAGGCAAACCACGGTCAAATACGTGGGAGTCCAGCGACATAGCCACTACGCTAACTGCTGGTTCCCCAGAAAACTTTTTTTGAGTGAGACTTTTGCTATAGGGCACATGTACTCACCAGAGAAACGGAGAAAACAGAGAGACAGAAAACAAGAAGTTGTTCCCCAGGACAGATGGCCACATAGCAATCCCTTCTCCTCCACTCTCCTCTCAGGATTTTGGGCATTGATGCACAGGCATCTGGCAGGAGTTTCAAACTGCAGGGTCCAGGACTCAAACTGTGGCCAACAATGTGAGTCCAGCAAAGTAACCAATACACCATCTGCAGGTCTCCCATTTTAGAAAACTCTTAAACAAAAATTACAGTGTCTGGGACCAGCAGTTAGCATAATGTCTATGTCGCTGGACTCCCATGTAGTCGAATGCAGTTCGCGTCCCGGACTTGGTGGCTTAAAACTCACACTGGGCAGGTGTGTTTATATGCCCAAGATCCCGAGAGGAGAATGGAGGAGAAGGGATTGCGTGCGGCATGGCCATCCCCCCTGGGGGGTGATTTCTCACTTTCTCTCTCTCTCTTTCTGTCTGTCTGGCGAGCGCACGCGTCCTAAAGCGAAAACCTCTCCAAAAAAAAAAAAAAATTAGTGTCTGATGATTGGACTTGGTTTCATTCAACAAATGAAACTGTCTCAATTCTTTTTTTCCATTATTAGTCTCAAATGTGATTTGAATCCTAACGACTTCTCAGATTTGTGTGCTTGTCTTCTCTCTCTAGTGACAATGGAAGAATGGTCTATATATCTATGACCTGTAGCAGTGAAATCAACTATCTTATAAAGAAAATATACTACCCATAAATTTTCCCTTAAATAGCTCATCAGATGCAGGTTGACTTGTCTGTAAGATAATGTTAGCGTCCGACCCAAAAAACTCAATAGTGTCTTGTCCAGGCTTAAAATGATTGTTGGTTAACTTAATCTATGGGATTAGACACCACTGCAGAATCAGAACTGTTACTATATTAGTGTTACATACTTATATTTCTGTATTTCAATAAACTCATAATCTAAATAATGAGAAAATACCGATATAAATCTTGAGGGAACTTGGATCTGAAAGCTTAATGGAAAAGAGACAGAAACATGGAATCATAGTACACCATTCCTGACTAGCTGTGTGTTACTAGGACAAGTTCTAAATTTTAACCCTTTCCATGGTGATGGTTATAGAGCACTGTGATTTAGATCATGAAACAAAATTGTACATTTAAAAATGTCTAAAATGGCACATTTTATGCTGTATATATTTAACTACAATCCTAAGAAAAAGTAATTAGATCTGATCATCTTAAATTACTGTAAGAGTGAAACTACTCAATGTTATTAAGAGCTTCTTACATATTAATTGCCCTCACTAATAAAGGAAAACGTGGCATTTTAATCCACTCACTGTGTTGCAAATGTGGATGTGCACCTTGGGGGACTATTTTAAGCCTCCATTGCTTTGGCACGTCTGATACCTGCCTTAACACACCTGTTCCCACTCTGATGTCTGCAGCACCTTACAGGTTGAAATCAATTGCACTGTTATTTGTTTATGAATATATAGCCCAAATTATGTTTTATTCAGCAATTAAATTGGGTCACTTTTGTCTGAGTTATTTTAATTAATTAATTTATTTATTCCATGAGCAAGAGAGACAGAAAGAGACACAGCACCTCCACAACAGGGTCATCACACCATGACCTATCCCCAGCCTCAGCCATGATCAGGGGATCATGGGCATGCACATGCCCATCATACTTGAGGAAGTCTCTAGGCACAGATTCAGGTCCTTCCCACGAGGGTCAGTCTCACACAGCATCATATTTTACCACTGTGCCATCATCTGGCACACATCCTCCATTGTATTCAGTCATTCATTCATTTGGATAATACTGCATTCAGTTTTATTTATACAGTTATATGGGGGGGAGGGGGACAGCCCATGGTGTAGTGGTTAAAGCCGCTGCGTTCCACACGACCAGTTGTGCAGTTCAATTCCTGACCTGGTGGCTTGAGAAACATGCAGAGAGCATGTGTGTACATGCCCGAAGTCCCAAAAAGAGAAATGTAGAAAGAATCCCAACATGATCGTTCTCCATGGGGGATGTTTTCTCACTCTCTCTCCTCCCCTTTCTCTTTCTCTAGTGAGCATATGGACCCTCTAGCAGATTCTTTAAAAAATGGAATTTTGATGAAATATTTTTAGTCACATATAATAATTGTACATAATAATCATATCATAAATATATGATTTTACACTACAACAATGCAATGGTAAAACTTCATTCAGAGTCATTAGAATTCCCATCATCTCTGCCATTTGCCATTACTTGTGTTGGGAACATTCAAAAATCCTCCCTTTAGTTACTTGGAGATATTTAACAAGTTACTGTTATATTCTCAACCCCAAATCTTATAATACTAGAAATTGTTTCCTCTATTTGCAATTTTATTTTTGTTAATTAACAGCTCTCTATCTCCATTTCATCTCATCCAGCTTCTAGCAGTCGTTTTTCATCCCTCTCCCACTATGAAGCCATTTTTTTCAATATCAATATGTGGACATGTTTCTTTCCATGGTTGCTTATTTCACTTTATGCACTGTTCTCTAGGCTTGCCCATTTAACATAAAATGATACAACATTGAACTTTGGGTAGATTTCTCAACCCCTCTGACCTTAAGCACTATTAATATGAAATAAAAATGATGATTATTTTTCTCTTTACCTCCTCAATGTTTCAAAGTAAATGTTATTATTAACATTAAAGGTATTATCATACAAAATAACTTCTCATTACCAAATATTTTAGTCCAAGAATGTGGTGAGGAAATTTTGGTACTGATGCCAAATTCTAATGTTTAGGATAGTCTATTTACAAAATCATGAGCTTGATTTTTGTGTGATTGTGGAAATATTTATTTGTTCTTTCAATTAATATTTATTGACGGCTACTTTTGTCTCTGTGGACAATTAATCCCTTTTAAGACTTTATACAGAAATATCTATGAAAAAATGCAAATAACAATGTTATGTTGAGCCTCATAGAAATCAGTTTTCTTATTTATAACCATACATACATATCATATACAAACAGGTATACATAATTTTAATTTTATTGCAGAGAAGAAAAATGTGTATGTGTTAACATTAATAATGGAAATTGACTTAGCAAATGAATGACAAGTCAGTTTATGAAGGAGCTCTATGCGAACACTGATGTAGCTCTTCTGTTCATATTATTGGGTCGTCGGAAAAGTCAGGATGCTTTTTTGCACAGAAAAATTCATTCTCAATTTTCCGACAATCAAATACATTTAAATGTTGGTGCCACTCAATCAGATACCTATTATAGTAGCATTTTAACTTTGTTTTCTTTCCACAGTGCTTCTACTGAAGGATTACTGAATCGTCATTGCATTTCATGCAATTTTATGAAAGAACAATGTACATATTTTGATGCCAGTTTTAGTCCCATGAATCAGCATTTCTTATTATTTTGTGAAGGTAAGATAATATATGATTTTTGAAGGAATTTATTTTACTTGATCAGTGTGTCTTGCTATTGTTAGTAGCTGTTACTCTAGCTATATGATTTGCTATTATTAATTCATATGTTTTTGTTGCAAGGTCACATATTATCATTTTATAGATATGTAACTTTTATTGATATATTTAGAAATAAAATTGAGAATAAGTCAGCAAACACATATGATAAATAATAGCTATTTGAATATAGTCATGTTTAAAAAGTGAATAAATGTATTTATGTCAGCAGAGTGGGGACATGATAATAAATTAACTTCTCTAGTCTTTAGAAAAAAAAAACACTGATTTCGTTAAAACAATACATACTTGTTAAGAGATTTAGGGTCTATGGAAATTGAAATCTGCTTATCTGCAGTTCTGAGCCATTACATTCAATCCTATTGCTTCTTCTGTCTGCAGCAGTGGGCTGTCGTCTCAGAAGGCTGCCCAGTATCTCTAGGACATATTCATAGGAACCAGCTTCCCCCTAATATGATACGTATGTCCCAGAGATGAAATGGAATTTGTGTGCCCTCTTATAATGTGATAAGTTGAATACTAGTACTTTAGCTGTACTTTCAGCCATCCTTTTTTTGGGGGGGAGAGGTTTTGCTATAGGTCGCATGCATTTGCCAGACAGAGAGAGAGAGACAGAGAGACAGAAAGTGAGAAATCACCCCCCAGGGGGGATGGCCACGCCGCAATCCCTTTTCCTCCATTCTCCTCTCGGGATCTTGGGCACGCATGCACACATGCCCAGCGTGAGTTTAAGTCACCAGGTCCGGAACTTGAACAACGGTCGACTACGTGGGAATCCAGTGACATAGCCATTATGCTAACTGCTGGTCCCTCAGCCATCCTTTTTGAAGACACAATGACAAATATACCAACACTTGGTCCTTTTATTTATTTTTCTCTTGATATCTGAATGAAGTAATTAAAAAACAGAAGTGTATGTTTAGTGATGCCAGAAAATCATTCACTTTTTAGATAGTGATCTATAGAGAAATAAAGTTTTAAGAGAGTGTCTGATGGTAACAAATTAATTAATCAGTACATTTTAAAATAATTCTAGCTCATATATGTATTTTTTTTGGGGGGGAGGTTTTTGCTATAGGGCGCATGTGATCACCCAAAAGACAGACAGAGACAGAGAGACAGAAAGCAAGAAATCATCCTCCAGGGCAGAGTGAGGAGGATGACCATGCCGCAATCCCTTCTCTTCCATTCTCCTCTCGGCATCTTGGGCACGCATGCACATGCGCCCAGCTTGAGTTTAAGTCACTGGGTCCAGAACTCGAACCGCAGTCAACTACATGGGAGTCCAGCGGCATAGCCATTACACCAACTGCTGGTCTGATTATATATTCTAAAAATTAATATAGAGACCAGCAGCTGGCATGGTGATTAGAGTTCTGGACTACCACAGGTTTTACCTCAGTTCAGATCCTGGACTTGGAGGCTTGCTTTCTTCCTTTCCCTATCTCTCTCTCTCTCTGGTCAAATTTAAAAATAATAATAATAAATAAAATAAAATAAATAATTCTTTTAAAGAATAAAAAATGTAAAAAAATAAAATAAAAATATAATTAGTCCTCCAAGGACCAGCCAAGAGCTTAGTAACTAAGGGAACTGTATCTCATGCAGTCAGCATCAGTTTGAATCCTGTACCAAGCAGCTTGAAAATCATACCAGGTGAGTGAGTGTGCACGCCCCTAACCCTGACAAAATGAAAAAATGGAAAAGGAGAGATTGTGGTATGACCACGCTCCATTGAGGTTGGTGGTTTCTCCCTCTCCTCTCTCTCTCTGGAAAGCTCAGAGTGATGTATCGATGTATCTTTATGTTTTGGCCATGAAATGCTTATATTTTTAGAAAATAACTGTCATAAAAATTTTCTAATAATTACAACTTAGATGTTTTTTAAATATTACAAATATATGTGTCTTTTTTAAATCCAGGTCCAAGGGTCCCCATGGTCAGCCTACATAGCACCGACAATCCATCAAGTGAGTACATAAGACAACAAATCAGAATAGTAAAGATTGGCATTTAGGCATTATACGATTTATTCTAAGTGCTGTACTCGATAGAACTTTCTTCAAAGGAACCCCTAACATGCAGAAAGCTGTACATACACCACTAATATGAACTCGTGTATGTAAGACTAACAGTGAACCAAGTGTTTTGAGCCATGTTACAGCTGGGGCTGGATCTTGTTTGCCTGCAAAAGGTGTTTACTATACCTAAGTTGAATAAAGAGTGATTTATGAGACGAGTTCATCACAGCCTACTTCCTATTCTGTGCGTGGTTTATTCTCTCCTAGGCCTCACATAAGTTATTTCATGAGCTCAGTGCTTTATATGCATATGCATGATAAATGTATTATTTTATGTGTTTTCTATCTTGTTCATTCTGATATTCAGGATCTGTTAATTTTAAACCCTTGCTTTTTTATTTATACCTCTATTCATTCATTTATTTATTTAACTCTCCTTTATTAAGTCAACACTTACTTTATCAAGCAATTTGGCAGAGACTAGGAATATATTAATAAGATGATCATGAGTTTAGTAACTTATAGTAGAGTGGGTAAGTAAATACATGGTTAAGCTGATCTTAAAAATATATAGCCAGATTGTTCCTTGCCTTCCTTTCTTCCATCTTTGTATCCTTCTTTTTTTCTTAAAACATTATTTTATTTAATTTTATTTATTCATTTTAATTTGGCCAGAGAGAGGGAGAGAAGGTGAGACAGAGAAAGAGAGAGAGAGAGAGAAAGCAAGCCACCAGGTCCGACACTTGAACCACTTTCAGCCATCTGGGAGTCCAGCATCCTTAGCCACCACACCACTTGCCAGCCCCTTTGTTTCCTTCCTTCTTCTTTAAGATTTATTTAATCAATGCTCTTATGCACCAATGATTTCACATAGACTACGATAATCTTACATTGTAATCATATATAGCTCATTTGATTCTCATATAACTGTATAGTAAATTTTATTATTCCCTATTATACACAAGAAAAGTGAGTCACAGAGAGATTACATAACTGGGCTAGAGTTATAATCGTAAATGGCAGGACCAGCCCATCAGCACAGTGACAAAGTAATGCTCCATGATGCAGAGACACATGGCAATGTCCTGGAATAACATCCTAAGGTCTCCCTATGCTTGCTAGGTGGCTGTTGCTCGTGCGGTTTACCCTTCCAGGTGTGACTTTGAAATTTTTAATTTTTATTTTTTATAATTTACTTACCTAGTTCTTATATAAGAGAAAGACAGACTGAGGTATCCAATAGGGTCCTCAAGGCCACGATCCACTCAAGCCAAACAGGTTCATAAGCATGCACAGGGAGATACTGGGATCTGAATCTGAGACCTTCCCAACAGCTCCAGCTTTGCAGACAATTGCATCATGGTGTCTGGCCCTTTCTAATCACTTTTAACTCCAGTCTTCTCCTTCATGTTCTCTGGTTTAGAAGTAGTTTCTATAGATGACATAGTTTCTGTTGCCCTGTAGCTGTCAGTTAGATTTAATCAAAGAAATCCAGTAGGAGAGGGGATGAAATATGATTTTGGGATATCTATTCCACCAGCTCTGTCCACGTGGAGTCACTGCAGGCTGACTGTGACCTTTGACTAGTGGTCACTTCCCCTTCAATGTGGACCTCTCAGTGAATCCTGTCCAGGGAAGTTCTCATAACTGCTTTCTCCCCCTGACCTTCAGGTATAGCCACTGTCATAAGCCTTGACTCATTGTGCTGTCCTTTAGGGTCCTCCTACCTATTGTTCATACATCTGTAGTTAGCCCCTTTATTAAAGTACTGTCAAACTTTTTAATTAGAGAATGTCTTAACTTTCCTACTAGGAATAACAATAAAAAAAACAACTTTGCAAAGGTTAGTTCTTGAAAAATATTTAAGCCATGCTTCTAAGTTATAAAGATGTTCAAAAATGTATGCTACTTCAACAAAGCTATCAGGAACTGCATTCATAATTTGAGAAGCTACTACTCACACATGTTAAAAGTTCTTACACCCAGGACCAGCAGTTAGCATTATTGCTATGTAGCTGGACTCCCATGTAGTCGACATGGTTCACGCCCTGGACGCTGTGGCTTGAAACTCACGCCAGACGCGTGTGTGTGCATGCCCAAGATCCCTAGAAGAGAATGGAAGAGAAGGGATTGTAGCGTGGCCATCCTCCCTGGGGAGTGATTTCCTCACTTTCTGTCTGCCTCTCTGTGTCTGTCTTGCAAGCACACGTGCCTTGTAGCAAAAACCTCTCCAAACATAAATAAATAAATAAATAAAGTTCTTACACCCGCCCAGCAGCCTTTCAGATGATTTTTTTTTCTTTTTGGTTGTTGTTCTTTCTTCTGTATTATTCTTTAATGCTCTGCAATGAACATGTTTTACTTTTATAATGAGAAAGAAATTCTTCATTAAAATGCCCAGTGACTTGAGACATGATATAAAAGGTAAAATTTACTTAAGTCTTTTCAAAATCCTTCAGCCTGAATTAGTGTCATTCCTTACCTCTTTTTATATTTCAATCTTTTTTTTTCCTGTAACTTTGGGCATGTTATGGTTCCTTTCTTTAATATGAAATTTTTTTTTGATTCTGTATTTCCTTTCTTCTACATTTCACCTCTTTTTTTCCTCACCCTTCTTTAAAATTCCCTTCATCTTTATATCTTTTCTTCTTTCCTCTTCCTTTCTCTTTTCTGTTCTCATTTCCTCATTTTTACACTTGTTAAGATAAAAGTTGTTCATCTTGGCTGAAATAAGACTTTTAACAGAAAAGCGAAGGTATATGAGGCCAGAAGGATAGAATGCAGCCCATTTTTTTTTATAAATCTTATATTTAACCACACAGTGTTTGGATTTCACTATAAAACATCAAAAAAAAACCTCTAAAGAAAAAAAAAAACACCACTGTATCTTTATTCTGAACATGGAATAACTAGAAGTAGACATGACCCTCATCCTTCTCTCCCTCCCTAAAAATAATTACAATGGAGAGTGGATAAAATACTGCAACCAACTTTTTTCAGACATTGAACAATAATCAACATAGATTCCTAATTGCTAAAAAAGGGTAAGAAATTAAATTAGTGTTGTAAATTCCCTGGTTTTCTGGATAAAATCGTTTTTAAACTTTAGTGCAATAGGAATATTCTAAGCAGAGTACAATGGTGTCTGTAAATTGAAGAAACAGAAATTTTTATCTGGAAAGTTTGAGGCTTATAGAATATTGACAAAATAGAAAGATACAGAAGAAGTTACATTGAAAGGAGCCTCAGACATCTGTATAAGGCTGTGTAGAGATCGCCTTACTGAAAATTCTAGCTACGAGCTAGGGAGACACCTCACGAGGCTGGACAAAACCAGAGTCCACACAGTGCTGTGCCGTGTTTAAGGTTCAGTCAGAGTACTGGTATATTTAGAAGAGATCCCAGAAAAGCCACTCTGTTTAGTAGACTTAATTAGCAATAGAGCAAATGCCAGTTGACCGACCACTCCCTTGAAAAGATAATAAAAATAAGTATTTACATTATCCTAAAATATTGCCCTCCTCAGTGGCATAGGTGGTAGCTATAGATCTGCTGTGCTGGAAGCCACATGGCTGGACTGCAGGTTTGGATCCTGCGTTGACCTGACATATACTACACACGTAAGCCCAAGTTCCTGAATATCTGGGGGCTTGGGAGAAGGGACTGTGGCATGATGAAGCCTTGGCAAGGGTGTCTGCCTATCTTCTTTACCCAATTATCTCTCTAGAAAGAAATAATATAAACTTTAGAAAAAGTCTTGAGGGGCTAGCAGGTGGTGTGCTAGTTAAGGAGCTAGAATCCCACATGGCTGACTATGGCTCAAATCCCAGAACTGGCAGCCTTCTCTCTCTCTCTGATCAAATTGAATAATAGTAGTAATAGTAAATGAAATTCAATGAATAATTCTTCTAGAGTATTTTTGAAAAGTCTTGATAATGAAGCTAAACTTAAAGTTACTTAAACATCAACCAAAGCAAAGTCTAACAACTTTCAATAGAAATTTTAATTCAGAATTAAAACATGTAAACATTACAATGGTCAGCATCTAATAAAAAATTTTCTGGTTGTGATAAAAATATGACTCATAATTAAGAGGAAGATCACTGAACAGGGACAGATTCAGAAATCACAGAAGTGATGAAACTCACCATTACAATTTTATTAAAAATAAGTTGGGCCAGCAGGTGGCGTGGTGGTTAAGGTGCTCCTGAGAGGAGAATGAAGGAGGAAGGATTGCAGGATGGTCATCCTCCCTTAGGGGGAAGTGGAAGATGATTTCTCACTTTCCCACTCTCTGTCTGTCTCCCGTGAGCACATGCACCCTATGGCAAAAAACTAAAAATAAAACAAATACAATTCTTCACTTGGAATGCAAAAAGTAGATTAGACAAGGCAAAAGAAAAGATTAGTGAGTGTAAAACAACATAAATGAAAACTTTCAGACACAAAGAAAAAGAATGAAAGATAGAGACAGTCAGGCTAGACTTCTAGCCCTGCAATTTGGTGCTGTACATAGTGAGCTAGATCCTACATGACTGAACTTGGATTGAATCCTGGCCTTAGAAGCTAGAAAAACACACTGGGCATGTTTGCATGAGTACCCAAATCCTGACGGTATGGAGAAATGGGGGAAAAGTACTGAAATATGACCATACCCCCTCTGGGTATACTTCATCTCTCTGCTTCAGTCTCTCTCTGGCAAGTGCATATACTCTCCGACAATTAAAGAATAAATATATTAACTATAGGACAATATCTACATCTACTATATTTGTGATTAGAGTGAGAAGCAGGTGGCTAGAAAAATATGTTTGATGAAATAATGATCAGTAATTTCCTTAATATGACGAATCTTCTTGAATCTCAAGAAGAATGGAAGTTAAGGATGTTTTGAAGACTTACATTTCTAAATATACAGATCAAAAAAGAAATTTAAAAATACTGAGAAAATATCGTGAATAAAATGAAAATGAACACACAACATTTCCAAATTAAAGGATAATCACAGTTATGATTAGAAATAAATGTTCATCTCTAAATTACTCATTCACATAAAAAACAAGGTTTAAAATGAATGATCTCTTGGATCAGCCAGTGGCATCATGATTAAGGCAGCTGGATCCTGCCCAGCTGACAGTACAGTTCTAGTTAAAGACTTAATGGCTTGAAAAACACACTGGGTACATGTGTGTGCAAAATCCTGAAAAAAGGGAGAAGGATTGTGACATGACCATTCCCTATTCGGGAGGAGGGGTTCTCTCTCTCTCTCTCTCTCTCTCTCTTTCTCTCTATAAGTACATGCACTATCTGGTAAATTTTAAAACATCAATTATATAGGTTTTCATGGTCATTAAAGTACTGGACTCCCATGTGACTGATTGTGGGTCAAGCCCTGGCTTGAAAATTATAATGGGCATGTATGCATGCATGCCCAAAATATCAAGAGGAGAATGGAAGAGAAAGGGTGGTATGGCATGCCCTTCTGAGGGTTAATTTTTCATTTTCCCTCTCTCTATCTCTCTCTGTTTCTGGTGAGCACATGCACCCTATGGAAAAAAATAAAGAAATATGTAATTTACCATATTATAGTAACATTGATGAACACTTAGGAAAAAAAGATTTAATAATTTTGAGTATTAAAAATATTAATAATAATAAGCTAATAATTACTCAGCAAGATAAAAATAGAAGAAAATTCCTTAAATTAAGACAGTTACTTACAGCTGAACTCATGCTTCCTAGTGTAAGACTGCTGATTTTTCCCCCCATGATTGTGCAAGTCACAAATGTCTGCTATTACTTCTTTTGTGCAATATTGTATTTGAAGTCTCAGATAGTAAAATGGACAGGAAAAAATATGTTAACTAGTAAAACCTCCTTTATTTTCAGAAGCCATACTTGGGTATAAAAGAAATAAGAATAAAATATACTATGGAATAAAAATACTTACACTTTGTGTAAGTAAGTAATACTTACACAAAGTAAGTATTAGAAATTAAGGAGGGACTAGCAGATGGAGTAGTGATTAAGGCACTGAACTTCCATAGGCCACGGTTTGAGTACTGGATCTGGTGGCTTGAAACTCACTCCAGGTGCATGTACATGTGTGCCCCAAATCCCAGGAGGATAATGAAGGAGAAGAGATTGCAGCATGGCTATCTTCTCTGGGAAGTGATTTCTCATTTTCCTTCTTTCTGTCTCTATATTTCTCCAACAAATGCATTCATCATGTGTTATATAGCAAAAACCAAAAAGAAAAAAAAAAGAAAGAAAGAAAGAGGGAAAAGAAATAACTGCATTTATTATGGCTACAGGTATATGTCAATACACAAAATCAAACCCTTTTCTAGTGATTTCTTCCATAATGCACATACGCTTGCTGGAGAGACAGAGACAGAAAGCAAGAAATCACTCCCTAGGGAGGATGGCCACACTGCATTTCCTTCTTCTCCATTCTCCACTTGGGATTTTCGGCACGCATGCACACACACCTGGTGTCAGTTTCAAGTCACTGAGTCTGGGACTTGATCTAAGGCTGACCACGTGGGAGTCCAGTACCTTAACCACTATCAACGTATTGGCCCCCCCAAACCATTTTCTAAACTCCAGTGCAAAATTGAAATGTAGTTTGCAATAGTATTGAAAATAACACCAAAAATAATATAATATCTAGAGATAAATCTATAAGTAAATGTTAAGTCTTCCAAAATGAAAGCAAGATAGCATTGCTAGAAAAAAATTGAAGACTCAGATAGATATACTCATATTTATTTATGGTTAGTAGCTTCATGATTTTGGTACATAAAGTCTTCCCAGATAATCCTATAGATTAAATATAATATAAGTAAAACTTCCAGCAAGCTGCTGATGATCCCTTTGTGTTTGTTAATTCTCTTTTTGGTTTCATTTTCAATATATCCTATTACTATTTGTCTAGTTTATTAATCTTTTCTTTAATATATAATATTCTACTAATTTCTACCTTACTGAATATCTGGACTGCAGTTGTCATCTCTGCTTCAATGTGCCTTCTGACTTTCTCCCTCTCCCTCTGTCTCTCTGTCTGTCTCTATGGCAAGTGCATGCACTACCTGGCAAATTTTAAAACATCTGAGAATAATATCATCTGTGTCATTTCTGGGTTGTCTTTTGAGTAAATTTTGTTCCCATTCTGAGTTTTCATATGCCCTTTCATACTGTTTTGATATTCAGACATTTATTCCCCTAAATATTCTTTGGCAGGGTGCTAGCATGATCAGTTTTTGAAAATGTAAATACTAATTTTAATGTAGACTAAATAGAAAAAAATTTACTGGTATAAGGAAACTCAGAAAGTCAACTTATGGAATTACTTTTAGTAATTCGGGAGAGAAATTACATGCACCATCACTGCCCAGCTCAGTGCCTGCCAAGTGATAACAGTAATGCATTATATACAATGATAATTTTGGGTTCCATTGCACAGATTCTTGATCAATGCGTAGGAGTTAGCTATTTACACTACCTTTTTTGGCTTACAGAATACTTTATATTGGAAAGTAATTCTATGCTCAAGGATGCTATCCAGAAGAAGAAGATAGCAAAGTCAGAAATTAAAATTCTTCATATTGACGACTATGGTAAAGTTTTGTGCATGCTGTGTTGTTCAAGAATAACTTTCTCTGCATCTTATAGTCTGACATGTAAATGACTCCCCATCTTTAATATTTTGCTCTTTCTTTAAAAGAATTTCCTTTACAGTTGTCCTTTCCCAAAGATTTTATGGACCGAAACCAGTATGCTCTTCTGTTAATAATGTAAGTATTTTATTTGTTTATGAAATAAAAGATCTAAAAATTTTATAATTTTTAATGCCTGACATGACAACATTCAGATAAAATAAGGAACAGAAGCCCTATGTGTGTGGCTAAATGGGACAGCCATCAATTGTATGAATGCCTCAATGAGTCAATTACTAAATTATGGATAAGGGTATGTAATATTTATTTTTTATACTTTTTCATCCCCAAGTAGAATCCAATGCTACATCTGGAAATGGTGATGCCAGCTAGTTTGTTTTGTGAGTTTTTGTTTAGCAATCACCCAAGTGCTATGCTTTTCATGAGTGGTTTATGTAGCATTGAGGAAATATGCATTTCCATTGCCTAAACAACTGGTTATGTGTGTATCTGTCCCATCAGTTTTTCTTCCTGGACTTGTGTCCATCCTCAAGCAGTTCCCATGCTAAGAAAATCTGTCCAAGTTTTTCAACTTATGACTGACTTTGGAGTCGAATTTATTCATACTTTCTGTGAAACTGTATTGTGTGCTTGTGTAAGACTGCATGCAGTGGTCCCTGCTAAATAATAGCTAACAAACTTACTTGTCATTGATGCAGCATTATATTCTTGAGGGTTATATTCATTATTCTTATTATTAACTCAGGTCATATATTTATATGACACTGTCATATAAATGAATCCTCATCTTTAAGTCCCGAATATTAATAGCAACAGTAAAAATAAATATAAAACTACTTGTTAAGATTACTTGAGTATAAATGGTATTCAGTATATGCAATCAAATTGTCAGGATTTAAATTCTAGTTTTTCCACTTATTACTTGTGTGTACTTGTGTGACCTAACCCCTCACCATTGCCAGTTTCTCTAAATATAAAATAAGCATTACAATACCACCTACTTTTTAAGGTGGCTTTGTACACAAATTAAATGAAATACTATATACAAAGTCCTTTGTGCAGTGCCTAGCACATACAATTCATATCATTACTAGAGTTAAATTTATTTGCTTGTGTATAGATTATGTTGATTTCACTTAGATATTTTAATATAGATAAGCATTTTTCATCATTTTAAAAAGCTAAATAATACAAAAATAATACTTAATATTCTCTCACATCAGTGTTCATTCCAAATCTAATGACTTGATGTAACATAGTTTCTTTTTTTCTTTTTTTTTTTTTTTTTGGAGAGGTTTTCACTATAGGGCGCTTGTGCTCGCTAGACAGACAGAGAGACATAGAGACAGAAAGCGAGAAATCACCCCCCCAGGGGGGATGGTCACGCCGCAATCCCTTCTCCTCCATTCTCCTCTCGGGATCTTGGGCACGCACACACACGCGCCCGGCGTTTGCTTTTTTTAAGTCACCAGGTCTGGGACGCGAACCGCAATCGACTACGTGGGAGTCCAGCGACACAGCCATTACACTAACTGCTGGTTCCCTGTAACGTAGTTTCTGATATCCAGAATTTTCTCCTTTGTCCCTAATAGGCAGAAGGCTGTGAAAATTGTTGGTGTCATCCTAAGAAAGCATATATTTATTCTTTTAATTCATTTTGTTTCCTCCCTTTCACCTAGTTTCCTTCCATTCCCATTTAAACCATGCATATGATTTACTGAAAAAAAAATATTCAAGGCACTAAAATGAGAAAAAAAAGAAAAAAAATCTCAACTTCATCTTTTAAGTCAGTCATAATGCCACTTGTGAAAATGAATTATTCCTTTTTTTAGACATATTTTTTGCTATAGGGTATGGGCACTTGCCAGAGGGACAGGAAGACACAGAGAGACAGAAAGTGAGAAACCACCACTTCTTCCCCACCTCTCCCACTGGCAGGGATGGCCATGCCACAATCCCTTCTCTTCTATTCTCCTCTCAGGATGTTGGGCACACATTCACATGCACCCCACATGGGTTTCAAGCTGCCGGGTCCTGGACACAAACCTCAGTCAACTACGTGGGAGTCCAGTGATATAACCATTATGCCATCTACTGGTCCCAGAATTGTTCTCTTGATTCACTGAAAAACAAGGTTTTTCATAAAAAGTGACTCTACTAAATATTTTCTTAGTACCTGCTGATCTTCATTGAAGATAGAGGCCCGGCTACAGGGGCGTGATTTCTAAGACACTGTGATGCGTAAGTTGGCATCACATGGGAGGCCAGTGTTCCATTCCCTGTTCCACCTAAAGGCCAGGAGTGATGCTATGCCTGTGATGCTAGCAACTGGGGAACAGAGCTGCAAAAGAATCACAAGGTTGACACTGGCCAGGACAACAGTGAGACAGTCTGGAAATGAGCCTGGTAGATGCTCATGTTCCAGTTATGAGCAAGATACTGTCCAGAAAAGAAAGAAAAAAAACAGAAAAATAAAAGAACAAGCCTCATTTATACAGATGGATGTGTAGACAGTATTCTTATACATTTCCATTAGTGCCAGGGCAGTTTCACACACTGGAAGAAAAGCGAAGAAGAGATATAGATATAATTCTGTTTTCTTAGCTAGGAAAGTGAACTGGTGAACTGGTTTATCATGGCATCAGATTGTGCTTTGGACTGTTTGATTGTTAATTTATTAGAAGAATATACAGACTTGCATAAGAAACTGATTTAAAGATTTCTTGTTGGAAAAGAATATTTGTGTCTTTTTTCTGAAGCAGGAGAGTAATCCAGTAAGGTACATGTGCTTGTCAAAGAAAGACAGAGAGAAAAAGTGAGAAATCATCCCCAGGGAGGATGGCCACACCACAATCCTTTAATCTCCAGTATCGGTATTTTGGGCACACATGCACACATTCCTCACATTCTTCACGCTGTTGTGTTTAGGACTTGAACCATGGAGTAAGCCATGGAGGACCCAGCACCTTAACATCACACCTCTTACTGGGCCCATACTGCTTATTTTATTAAATCTTCTATTACCTTATTAATAATAGGTCCAGTGATATAACCATTATGCCATCTACTGGTCCCAGAATTGTTCTCTTGATTCACTGAAAAACAAGGTTTTTCATAAAAAGTGACTCTACTAAATATTTTCTTAGTACCTGCTGATCTTCATTGAAGATAGAGGCCCGGCTACAGGGGCGTGATTTCTAAGACACTGTGATGCGTAAGTTGGCATCACATGGGAGGCCAGTGTTCCATTCCCTGTTCCACCTAAAGGCCAGGAGTGATGCTATGCCTGTGATGCTAGCAACTGGGGAACAGAGCTGCAAAAGAATCACAAGGTTGACACTGGCCAGGACAACAGTGAGACAGTCTGGAAATGAGCCTGGTAGATGCTCATGTTCCAGTTATGAGCAAGATACTGTCCAGAAAAGAAAGAAAAAAAACAGAAAAATAAAAGAACAAGCCTCATTTATACAGATGGATGTGTAGACAGTATTCTTATACATTTCCATTAGTGCCAGGGCAGTTTCACACACTGGAAGAAAAGCGAAGAAGAGATATAGATATAATTCTGTTTTCTTAGCTAGGAAAGTGAACTGGTGAACTGGTTTATCATGGCATCAGATTGTGCTTTGGACTGTTTGATTGTTAATTTATTAGAAGAATATACAGACTTGCATAAGAAACTGATTTAAAGATTTCTTGTTGGAAAAGAATATTTGTGTCTTTTTTCTGAAGCAGGAGAGTAATCCAGTAAGGTACATGTGCTTGTCAAAGAAAGACAGAGAGAAAAAGTGAGAAATCATCCCCAGGGAGGATGGCCACACCACAATCCTTTAATCTCCAGTATCGGTATTTTGGGCACACATGCACACATTCCTCACATTCTTCACGCTGTTGTGTTTAGGACTTGAACCATGGAGTAAGCCATGGAGGACCCAGCACCTTAACATCACACCTCTTACTGGGCCCATACTGCTTATTTTATTAAATCTTCTATTACCTTATTAATAATAGGTAATCATATGAAAATATACATGTATGTAAATATAAAATACAAAATAAATATACTATCATAATTTTTTATTTAACATAGACACTTATGGATAGTGTTTAATACATTATAAATACAACAGTAATTATTAGAATAGTATTCTAGAATATTTAAATTTATTGACATATATATTTAATATATAGGTTAGTATCTATAATGTTTCCTAGTAAACTAATACTACTAAAATAGGTAGTATAGTCAAACACGTAGAATTTACTTTGCTAATTTTTGGTTGATGAAGGAAGAATAAAGCAAGTGTTAAATCACATAAGTATTTCAGTTTTTATATACTTTTATAATAGACACTAATTTACTTTATCAGATGTCTTGGATTTGAGAGATAAGTTTTCAGGAATTTTGCAAAAATATGACTCATAAGAACTAAACTGGGGATTTCATTTTAAATGTATATTTATAACATAATTTATTCTTTGACCAGCCAGTGGCTTAGCAGTTAAGGTGGTTAAGGGTCCCACACACCCAGTAGAGTGGGTGGCATATCACACCCTGACCCCAACATATATTATAAAGCTGTGATCATCAAAAAATAATGGTATTGGTACAAAAACAGACAGATAGACCAATGGAATAGAATAGAGACCACAGAAATAAACCCCAAAGCTTACAGCCAACTGATTTTTGACAAAGGATACCAGTTAATCCATTGGGAAAAGGAAAACATTTATAGCAAATGGTGGTGGGAAAAACTGGATATCCACCTGCAGAAAGATGAAACTGAACCCCCATCTTTCACCATTAAGAAAAATTAACACAAAATGGATCAAAGAGCTGAACCTAAGACCTCAAACAATAAAACTACTGATGGAAAATACTGCGGAAACTATATGAGACATTGAGGTAGGCAAAGACTTCTTAAATATGACTCCCAAAGCACAAGAAATAATCCCTAAAATAGATAAGTGGGATTATATCAGACTAAGAAGTTTCTGCACAGTAACAAATGTGAATCCACAACACTCAGAATGGGAGAATATTTTTGTAAAATATGCCTCAGACAAGGGACTGATAATCAGAATACACAGGGAATTCAGGTGGCTTACTCAAAAAA